TTTTTTTTTTTTTTTTACCAAGAGAACACAGATTTCCCAAGAACACAGAGCACAGAAAAACATCCTCTTCTAACAGCCACCCTTGGGTGAAACCGCTGTGTCCACTTCATTCAGACTGTCTATAATACTGTCATAATAAAAAAAGACTGTCCACCTTTGAGTGTCAGCTGCATTCATCTCTCACTGACCAGAAGCCAATCTACCGGGCTCTGTCTGCCCTTGTCTGCTCCCATAATCCACTTGTTCGAGTCTTTTACCACTATAAAACACACAAACAGGGCTTGGCAGCTCTGTGTGTGGAGACCCATGCACAACATCAAGGGTAGACAGACTATGCAGATCATACTACAGCACGGAGCAGACCAAACCATTCGTAAATAGCATGGGCTGCCACTGATAACAGAACACAGGCATGCTTTACGATGTGCATGAGGGGTAAACAGAGTCTGTTCTCAATAAACTGGCATTAATGGTAAAAGTTGGGACAGTTGTCAGTTGGAGATTTCTTCACTGAGGAAAATAAGATTTCTTTGGACCAAATTAGATCCACATGGAAAGTATTAGCAAGATCCAGTGGATACATGTATGTAAAAAAACAACATGAAAGAGAGATCTGAGCGACATTGCTATGTATACGGCCATGCTTTGTTTGAGGCACAAGTAGAAGAGAGTATATGTTTTGAAGGGTTGACTTCCTTTTGCAGACTGTTTATTGATTTATCTTCTAAAACACTGACAGTCTTTGAGCATAAAACAAAAACACACTTCATTGTCAGGATTTACCTGTCAAGGATGTGTCCACTATGACCACTAATATATTTTACAACCCTCCCATTGGTTTCATGATGTAAAATAAGAACGATGTATACTAGTAAATGTCTGCCAAAGTTGGGTAAAACTGAATTTGAGCAATTAAGATGTGCCCTGTCATTTATTTAAAGTAGAGGGCACCTCGAGCAGCCTAGGCGGGAGCCAAGAAATCATTCTAAATTATCTGCCTTCAGCTGATGTCCAATGTGGCCAGTGACTGTGTATGAACAGGGCTTTGATAATTGAGCTGCACTGCTCATTTCCAGCTGACATTCCTCCAGAAAACAGGTGCCTACTCCATCCTGGTAACAGATGCAGTGTCAGCCTCACAGGGTGTCCAGGGATGCTGCAAGAATATCTAACTTCTCTGTCACCCACTCCCTGGTGCAGTTCTTAATGACAATGAGCAGATACGCCAAAAGAGTTTACTGTCCGGATGTGGGTGAGCACAAATGCATAATCAAGGACACAATATGTAGTGTTTTTGTGCCATTGGCTAAATGTCTGTGACTTTCAGGGGAAGGACAGAAATTAATTTATGTGAACTTAAAAAGACAACATTAAAGGTCCAGTGTGACACATGAATACCCCTAACTAGAGTCAGTGTTTGGTATGTCATTTCTGGGCTACTGTAGAAACATGGCCGTTCAACATGGCAACTCCATGTAAGACGACCCAGGATTCCTAATTCAGGTCATCAGAATCAGAAATACTTTAATAATCCCAGGGGGAAATTATTTAATCATTATACACTAATGAAGATGCTACCTATAAATATTACGTTCCATTTCTGCCAACAGAGCCTCCCAAATATTACACACTGGACCTTTAAATTACTGTCCACTTGGTATGTGATAAAGATGCAGATGAATTAATAGGGATATTAAAATGTTCCACATTTTTCTGGGGACCATAGGTTGAGAACCACTGAACTAGACAATGGCTTTCTGGCAAACGCTAATATATCATAAACTGTATTTAAAGCCCATGAAAATGTTGTTTCAAATCTAAATGATTTCTCTCTAACATTAAATATCTATTACCAAAGACTAAATAAGCAAAAATTTAAAAAAAGGTGAAGTTGGGAAGAAACAGCTGTAGTGCTAAAATCTAAAGCTAATTTACTTCATCAAGAGGGCTGTGTGGGTGCAGTTTAATCAGATTTGAGTCCGGCCTACTTCAAACCATTGCTTCAATGGCAGAGAGGTCAGTGAAAACAAAAGTACAGAAACCATAATAATAAATAATCCAACCTGTTCTAACCGTGGCAGAAATTTGTGTCGTCATGTAACAGACCCCATTGCTCATAAAAAAGCTGATTGAAAAGGGAAAAAAACATTATATTTATTATATAATTATATATAAAGTTATAGGTAATACCTCAGTCGAAAGAAATGAAAAATGTGAAAAGTCAAAAACCAGGAAAATAAGTCACAGTTTACCTACAGAAAGACACACCATAAATGAGCAATGCATAATGTAGGAACAGCTCAAATTAACAGATCTCAGTCTGCAATAGACCCACATTGAAGGTGTATATTATCACAGCTGAGACCACACGGCTGCTTTGCTGTCCAGGAAATTAGCCGAGCAGAGAGTGTAGGTTTCCCTGGATAATATTAGCATAAAGCTCTGCACCCTCTCCAGGTGTTGTTTGCTGGGGTGGAACTAATTTGGCTCTGCACAACAGTTACATAAAATCTAACTAGTCAGCTCCTTTCTGGCTATTGGTAACGTCTGAAAAGGCAAATATGTCATTCACATTGTAAATAGCACACAGTTAAAGATCATAGTCTCATCATACAGCCTTATACATCTGTGATACTGACTGGAAAATGTGTGGCGATAAAGAAAACAGGAACCCACTCATAGAAAAACAGC